GGCTCTGTCCGTCCCGAGCGCGCCTTCTGGCAAGCCCGCTGCTCCCCCTCCCCGGTCAGAACGGAAACCCCGCGGGCTGAGCCGGGTGGGGGCCGGGAAAGAAGCCGCAGGCATGTCCGTGCAGACCCCGGAGGGGGCGCCGAGGCCTCCCGGGCGGTGGGGGGTGAGATTCAGGGACAGACCCCGCGAGTCGCGGGTCTTTCGGGGAGACCCTCCCCGCGGGAGGGCGGAACCTGGCGCTGCGTCTTCGGCCCCCGCCGCCTGGACCCGCGCCGGGGCCCGCGGGGCAAACGCGGGCGCGCGGGGCGGTCGGGGGCGCAGCAGCGCAGCGGCGCCATCTAGCGCCCGGGCCGCGCCGGTGCCGCTCCGCGCCCCGAACCCGCAGAGAGGGGGCGCAGGGCCGGGGGCGCAGAGAGGGGGCGCAGGGCCAGGGCGCGGGGCCGGGGCTCGGGGCGGGGCTCGGGGCGGGGCTCCGGCGCCAGGGCGCCCCTGGGCGGTGGGGGCACCAGGGCGGGGGCTCCCGCGCGCCCCCCTTCTGCCGCCTGGCGCCGCGGGCGAGGGTGCGGCACAGAGACCCCCGCGCCGCCTCGGGGGTCGCGCGGCGCCCCTTCCCCCGCGGGGTGTCCGGCCCGGGCAGGCGGCTCCTGCTCCACGGCTGCCCGTGGGGGGCTGGCGGGGGCGACGCCCCCGGAGTGACACTTGTCCCTGCCGGCCCGGCCAGCGCCGCCCCAGGCGCAGGAACCCGAGAGCCGCGCGCCCGACCACCCCCGCTCGGGGGCTGCGTGTGTTTTTAAAAGTAACCTTGTCTTGGAGAAACTACAGACTCACGCGAGGCAGCAAAAATACTAGAGCGAGTCCACACCCCGTCACCCCGACTCCCCGGGCAGCGCCTCCCGCGGCTGTGACTCAGGAGCAAACCCCCCGGCGCCCCTCCGCGAGGCCGGGCCTGAGCCTGTGCTCGTCCACCGTGCGCGCAGGTGCGTGTCAGGTGCGCGCAGGTGTGTGTCAGGTGCGTGTCAGGTGCGCGCAGGTGCGTGTCAGGGGCTATTCTGTTTCATCTCAGGTGTGGATTTGTGGAACTGCCGCCACAATCCAGGCGCAGAGTCTCCATCACACAAAGACCCTCTTATCCCCGCCCCCCCCCTCCCGGTCCATCCTCCCCTCGTGGTGGCTTCTGGCTGGAGCGCGGCCCGCAGGAGCGCAGGAGCCGTGGGGGCCGCAGCGCTCCGGGACTGACCTCTGCTGGAGACGCGGGTGCGCGGCGCGGCTCGGCCCTCACCCCCCCTTGCTGCTCGTGGTTTCTGTCCCTCCAGGCTTGGCCCGGCTCTTTGTCCACCGAGGGCGCGGGGCTGCTTCCTGTCGAGGAGGAGATGCGCCGCGGACACGGTGAACAGGCGTTGGTGTGGACAGACGTCTCCGCTCTCGGGGATGCCCACCGGCGGGACTGCGGGTGCGGGGGCGAGGGCGCGGAGTTATAAGAAACTCCAGCTCCTTCCAGAGGAACTGCTGCGCCTCTTGCCGGGAGCCTGTTTCTCTGTCTGCACCAGCACTGGGCATGATGACCACGAGCCAGCGCAGCTCTCCTGGCTGGCGGGTTGCGATGCCGCCGTGGCTTTAATTCGCATTTCCCTGAGGGCTTGTGTGTGGGCTTGTGTTTTAACTTGCTAAGTAATGTTGTGCCATTCCTGGTTCTCTGGCTCACACCCCCCACCCCAACGTTCCTTCTAAACATCTCCGGAGGTAGCTCTCTGCCCCTGTGTTCATTGCCTCCGCCTGTGGGGGCCTGGGGAGGTGGCACCGCTCAGGCCTCTTGAGGAAGGGGCTCTGCCCAGCTGAGGGCGTGTGGCCAGCGGATGCCTCAGCTGTCGGCTGCTTGAGGCTCAGCTTCCGAGCGAGGACACCCACTAATGTGGGAGGTCCCGGGGCAATGACGGTGCAGGTCGCCGTCTGAGGGCGGCCTCCCGGCCCGGCGGGACTCCGCCCGGCAGGCTTCGCTCCTGAGCTCTTCGCGGGATGACAGAAAAGGTCTGATGAGGCTGTTGGCTCCTTGTGCCCAATTCTCTTTCCTTCTTTCCCCCCATGATGAAATTCCCCCCAAAATCTCACTCCATCTCAGCATCCTAGCACCTGCTTCCCAGGAGCCCAGCTGGCGTGGCCGGCGCCGGGCCCTGCGGACTTACCCACCCCAGGGGTGGGCGTGGAACTGGCCCCAGCTCCCCGCGCCCACGGCAATGCCGTGATGGGCTTCTGTGCCCATCTCCTCCGCCTACTCTTGGGGGAGAAGGTTCCCGAGGGGAAGCCACAGAATGGACTTTCTGAGTCCCGAGCGACAGGCACGTTCAACTTGACCAGGCGCGTCAGACCCTCGGACTGTCCCCGCAGGCTCTGCAGCCGCTGCCTCGGCGCCGCCTGCCTGGTTCCCGCCCCAGCTGTGTCCACCGTGCCCACCCCTCCGCCCTCACACGCTGTGCCCGCCGCCGGCCCCGCGCAGACAACGCCCTCTCCCCTCCCTCTCCTCACCCCTGCGCCTGCCCGGCGTGGCGGGGCCTGGGAGATCCGCCCTGCCCGCTCTCCCGGGAGGTGTGACGTCTCCGGCCTTGGCTATCACAAGCGACACCGCAGGCCCCCCCGCCCCCCTGCACGCCCGCCCCGTGTTCAGGGGCAGCTCCACAGAAGCCCTCGGGGCCATGTCGGCATCGGAGGCTGGAGGCCTCGCAGCTTTGCTGGCTCTTCTGTCTCCCTGGGGCTGGTCTGGGGCGCGGGCTTGGTCCCCACGGCCTCCCCGGGAGGGAGGGGGCTGCCAGCTTCCTTCTAACCAACGGGCGGGGGCGGGCCAGCCTGGCGTTGCCCTGCCAGAGCCGCTGTGCTCAGACACGCCTTTCCGGGGTGCGGCCGGCCCAGGAGAGTGGCGGCCGCTCCAGGTGCCCCGGGTCGTGTGCACCCCCACACGGCTGGTGCAGGTCTCACCGCCACTGTGTCTCCCCCAAGAAGCAGCACACGGCGCCGAGCCCTGCGGCCTTTATTGTCCCTCTCTGGGCGCTGGGGCTCCTGGGGGGGGCGGGCCCCTCACACGGGCCTGTAGGTGCCATTGTAACTGAAAGGCGGGGGCTTCAGGCAGTCCTGGTCCTCGGGCATCCAGCGCTGGACGAAGTTGGGGCCGTGGTCCCGGGGCCACACGATCACTGTGTCTCTGGACGCCACCGACGGGTCCTCTGGGAAGAAGTTGTAGGGCCGGAGCAGGAAGCCCACGGAGTTCCCGGGCGTGGCGGTGTTGGGGATGTCCTCGGAGTGGGGGATGTGCAGGAAGCCCACCGTCACCCAGGCCACCAGGTCCTGCGGAAGAGAGGGCGGGGGCTCAGGGGGACGGTGGCTTCCGCGGGCTGGATGGTGCCTCTGCGGCCCCGACATTCCCGGCTGGGTCTGGGAACTTCCTGCAGCCCCTCGGCCCCCGCTTTAAGGAAGGCAGCTCTGGGGACTGCGGAGCCTGCCCCCCGGGGGGTGGGAGGGCACAGATCCCTCGTGTGGGGGGCGGCTGGGGCTGGAGGAAGGTGGGGCCGTACCTCGTCTTCAATGTTCTCGTTGTTCTGAAGAAACTCCTCAAAGACCACAGGAGGGTCCCAGGGGTCATTCTGGTTGTAGATGCTGCTGCTGCTCAGCTCAGACTCCCGGTACTTGGTCACGGCCAGGGGGTACCTGCATGCAGAGGAGCAGGTGGCCCTGGGCCCGGGGTCCTCCCAGCCCCCTGGGAATGTCTTCAGGGTCGGTGACGGGGAAGGTTACCGCCTCCCCCAAAGGAGAGCGCGCCACCTGCGAGTCGGCAGCCCTGACCACTGGCAGCTGAGGCTCCGGGGCTCAGCACACCTCCCCGACACTGGGGCACACGCCCGGGCACGCACGCACACAGGCACCCCGACACACAGCGCAGAACCTCCCGGCAGGAGCGCAGACACACGCACACGGGAGCCCTGGGACGCGGGAGGAGCCCCTCCCCAGCCTCCCGCGCCCCTCACCTGGCCCAGGTGACAGCTCGCTCCTCCTGCCAGCCCGGGGGCAGCACCTGGTCGGCCATCGAGTGGATCTGCAGCCGGTAGCTGCGCTTATGGCCCCAGCGGTTCTTCTGGGGGCTGGTGAAGAGCAGGTACTTGGGCAGGGGCTTTCTGAAGCGGAAGGCCGCCTGGCGCTCCCGGGAGTAGCCCCTCTGCTCCAGAGTCGGCTGCACCAGGCGGTGTCTGGGGCTCCAGGGGTTGGTGATGTTTTCGAGCTTCATCTGCAGGGTCTGGAAGCTGTTCCTGGAGCCTGCAGGTGCGTGGGAGAAGGACGATGAGAGCCGGGCCTCCTGCTTGGACGGGCTCCCTCTAGACAGCATCCCAGAGCAGACGGGGCGCGGTGGGGCTGTCGGGGGCCACAGAACTAGCTGTGGTGCGGAAGGCGAGTTCTGCCCCTCCAGGAGATTCAGTGCAGTGTCCCCGGGGAGGGGACGTTACTGCTCAGTAAGGAGGTCTGTCTGGAGGGCTGTTCCCGCCCCCCTCGGGTCCTACCTGCCACATCCAGGTCCACGCGGTAATGCACCAGGTGGGTGTGCATGTTGCCAATGAGGTGCGTGTGCAGGCGGGTGCCGTGGCGCAGCCCCTCGGGGGTGTAGAAGGTGGCGTGGACGTAGCCCGTGGCGTGCATCTTGGCCTCCATCACGCCGCTGGGGTAGAAGAGGAAGTCCCAGATGTAGTCGTAGTTGTAGACTGTGGAGGTGGTGCGCAGCACCAGCACGCGGCCCGGGAGCCCAGCATAGAAGTTGAAGCCCCCGCTGAAGTTGGAGTTGAAGTGCCGCCGAATGGGCACCCCGGTGGGCATCTCGAAGATGCAGAGGGCCCGCGGGTAGCGCACGGGGCCGTCGGAGTCGTAGTGGTGGAGCGCGTCCCGGAAGGTGGCCGTCTCGGGGCAGTCGATGCCGGGGGCTAGCTCGTGGGTGACGCTGCCCAGGCCCCAGCCCACGTCGATGTACTTGGTCTGCATGCCCGCGGGCGTGTGCCCCCCGTACAGCGCCGCCGCCTCCTGCACGCTCACCTCGTAGGCCACGCGCTCGCCGCCGAAGCGCACGTTCAGGACCTGCAGCCCCGAGGAGGAGCGCAGCCGGAAGGCGAAGCTCCAGCCCCCGTAGAGCACGACGTTGCCCTCCAGGCGGTAGCGGGGCCCTTCGGGCTGGACCTGGCGCGGGCCGGGCACGGCGATGGGGCTGGGGAAGTCCCCGCGCACCTGGTAGGAGGAGAAGAGGGGCGGCTCCTCGGGGGTCTCTCCCACCTGGCCCATGGTGCTCACGTCCTCCAGGACCACGGCGTCCACCTGCCCAGCGTGGTACTTCTGGGCCAGCTCTTCTGGGCTCCCGTAGAACTTGCCGTTGTACCAGACCTGCTCCACCGCCCAGGCTCGGGCGTCCGTGCTCCTGTGATCCACCAGGAGCTCCAGCCCCGTGGGGTGCAGGAAGAAGCCCTCCACGTAGCGCTGTAAGATGAACCAGGTGCGGCGCTCCCCGGAGGCCAGGCCGCGCGGCGCCACGTCGGTGAAGGTCAGGCAGCGGGAGCTGCAGTTGAGCAGCGAGAAGCCCGTGGTGTCCAGGAAGAACTGGTGCAGCGGCCTGGTGGACTCCTGCAGGACGCCGTGCAGGAGCTCGGTCTCCACCTCCCCCAGGGGCCTCCCTGCCCAGTGCGCGCGGTGCCCGGGCCTGGGCGGCAGCTCCCGCAGGTAGTAGGGATGGGGCAGGGGCCCCACGGCAAACTCGGTGACATTGGGGTGCGCCTGCGCTCCGAAGAAGATGATGGCCCGCGCTTCCCGGACGGGGGGCCTCTGCCCCTTATCCAGAAACCCCAGCACGTGCTGCTTCTTGGGCAGCAGCATCTCGATGAGGAACACCGAGTTCTTGGCCACCGTCTGCACTTTGGAGGACTCCAGCCGCAGCTCCTTCCGGGACCAGAGGAAGCTGCGCACGGCCTTCAGCTCCTGGGCGCTCAGGTCTGCAAACACCGCGGCCTGGCTGCTGGCACTCGCCGCCTGGGAAGGGCGCTCTGCTGCCGCCAGCATCTGCAGCGCCAAGACGGCCGCCACCGCCCAGCCCAGTGCTGGGCGCTCTCCCCCCATGGCTCTGGAATGCAGCAGAGATGCCAAGTCAGTTGGTTTAGGGGAGAAGGGCTTCCACCGGCTGGTCTTGGACCAGGGGGCCCCTCAGCTTGAGGTTCCCTGCGGCCCCCGTGCCTGTCAGAACCGTGGTCTCCCTTTAAAGCTGTCGAACTTGACCTCTCCACGGTGCTGTCTGCATTGGCCTAACTCAGTCACAGCTATGTGGGGGCCCCTGGTGCTAGGATACCAGCCTGCACCCCGACAGGCAGCTCTGGGCGTGTGCATGGGGGAGGTGTTTGCCGGGTGCCCTCTGTCAGCTCATGAGATACTCAGCTCTTCTCTGCTGGGTCTCTGCCCTGCGATGGCTGTGGAGATGCATCTAGAATCCTCCCCGCTCTCCCTCCTCCCCTGAGGGTGCTCCCGCAGTGGTGGCTTTGTTCCCTGGACAAACGGACATGGCCTGCCACGGGCCCTCCCTCTGCCTGCCTCGTTTGTCTCCCTGGCTCTGGCGGGAGGCCCAGGCACCCACATGCACTCGAGCAGGAGATGGGGGGCAGATCCAGAGCCAGCAGGAGACTCTGGGATGAGCACTTATTCTGCTAGCACCTTCTGGCCAAACCTCTCTTTTTTTTTTTTAAAAGCAAGCAAATACTTTTCTGACCAGTTTTAGATTCACAGCAAAAATGAATGTGGCCGCCGCCTGCCCCTGCTGCGGACGTCTGCCCTGAGCGGTGCGCGCGACACCCTGAACCCCCGGTGACATGGCACGATCACCCAAAGTCCAGAGTGTATGCGCGGTCACTCTGGTGCTGGGCCGCCTGCGGGTCTGGGCACCCTGCACGTTCTCCCCTGGCCCTGGCGGGAAGGACCGCCTCTGGGCCGGGCCCCTCGGCTCCCCCGGGGCTGTTTCCTGTCCTCCGCCCTCCTCTGCCTCGAGTGTCCCCGCAGGACCTACCTGTGTGCTCTGCTCCGGGTTCGCCTCCGCAGTCAGCCTTTGTCTCTCACCCTTTCAGCTTTATGGCTGCACCAGTCCCCGCCCCGAAGGCAGGGCCAGGGCGAGGCTCACTAGGTGGGGACCTGGGGCTCAGGGGCTTCTCTGGAGGGCAGCGGCTGGAGCCAGTGCAGGGGACTCTGGTGGCCCCGCCTGGAAGCTTCCTGCTCAGGACTCACGCTCCCAACTCCCCTCGTCTTCCACGCGGCCCCTCCTGCCGGGGACCAGCCTCCGACAAAACGTCTTGTCAGGGGTTCCTGAAAGGATGAGACGGCCTAGGCGAAAACGAAAGAACTGAAAACTTAAGGACTGAGGGAATGAGGAGACACCGACACTTGGTGAGGTGCTAGTATCTTCTGCCGAGAGACTCAGCAGGTCTTTATTTATTCATTATTAGTAATAATAATAAGAAAATACATTATCATGTGTAAAGCATAAACAATTAGTGTATTATGTTTTCCATAGACTACTGGCCCCTACAGGTCTCAGCTAGACAGCAGCTTTCAAGGTTAACAGATAATAAACCAAACCTAACATTAAAGCTACTTATTTTTTCATTCAGACAATTATTTAAAACAGTGACTAACCGCCAGTGCATCCCTATCAGCTAAAGCCTAAGCATCAAAGGACTATTCTATTCACATGACCTTCAGCCGGAGACCAGCTGCTGCTCAGCTATCAGAACTTTTTCTACCTAGAAATTCCTTAACTCAAATAGCTTCATATTAAAAACTTTCCCAAGAAACTTCAAGAGAAAATAAAATAGAAGGACCTGCTATGATTATTGTATTGTAATGTTTGTCAGGCATATTCAATAAGTTGTCTTCCATTGTCAAGTAGGCCAAATTGTTTAATAATTAGTTTCTAATTTTCCATGCCGTTTATTTGCAATATACTGATGCATATAATATAGTGCCTAATGTACTTTTTTGGGAAATTTTTTCTTATTTATGACCAAGAACAGAAAGTAAAGAAATGTTACATCTTCAACCTCACGGTGTGAGGCACAAGGAATCTTCAGCCCCACGGTGTGAGGCCCTCTAGCTTCGGCCCCACGGTGTGAGGCCCTTTGGGCTTCACTGCTTGCCAGTGTCTTATCTGGCTGGGGCATCAAGGCCTCCTGCAGCACCCTCCTGCGTGCCCAGCAGCGCACTTGCCCCGTCCTGGGGCCTGGTGGCCTCCTGCAGCAGAGGCGCGGGCCACGGAGCTGCCCTTGTGTCGCCACGCGAGCTGCAGGGCCACTCTGTGGAAGGGGCGGGGACTTTCAGAGGCTGCGATGGGCCGATGGGACACTGAGCAGTCGGGAGCTCACGGGGCGGATGCACAGACCAGGCAGGGTGGGGGGTACAGACGCCGAAGGCAGAGAGTTTGCCCCGAATGGAGAGAAGGGAACTTGAGGCAGAAGAGTTTGGGGAGACACCCGCTAGTTAAGACTCTAGAAGAAGTCTTAGTAGCTGTCCTGGAGACCCGGCCAGGAGTCAGAGAGGAGGGAGGACTCGGAGGAGAGAAGGGGAGAAACCTCGGGGCTGCTGAGGGAAGGGGTGGGGAGAGGCAGCTGGGAGTGGGGGGCACCTGTGCGGGGAGCTGCCAGTGTGCCTTGGTCAGATGGAAGGGCAGCAGGGCCGCGGGAGGAGCTCCTGATCGGGGGTGTGTGGCTTCGAAGAACCAGAAAGTTCTTAATGCCCGTCACCAAGTCGTGATAGTTTACTCTCTTGTTATGATGTGACTTCTGTACTTCTGGTCATTATCTTCCTGCTACTTCCTGCACATCATTTCAGGGTTTATGGGCAGTTAGATAAAGGAAGGATAAAATGTCTGGTCAACCTGACCTTTGTCTGCAACCCCGGAGGGCCTTTGGGAGCGAGGGGATTAGCTCTAAATGCTAAATGATTGACAGATGACTGCCTGATTCTTTACCCTGTCTGGCCTGAAGCTTTTTTTTTTTTTTTTTTTTAAAGATTTATTTATTTATACAAGAGCTGGGGTACAGCCAGAGGTGTGAGAGGATGAGAGAATTCACCAGAGACAGAGCAGGGAGCAGAACAGGCAGACTGACTGAAATCCACTGCTGAGGGGAGCAGCGGGCGAGGCAGGAGAGTCCTGCCATGCCATGTGGGTTTTTCCCTGCCTGGCTGGGAATCGAACCTGCACTGCAGAGGCTGCAGACAGCTTCACAGCGTGGTGCTCAACTCGCTGCACCACCGGGGAGGCCCTGGCCTGAAGCTTTGAGCGTCGATTAGTCTGTCTCTCTTATGGGCTCACAGGCTCCGTGGAAACTTGAGAATTTGGGTCAAAGAAAGTTCTAGAAACAACCTGCATTGGGAAAGGCAGTCTGGTTCTGTTCCGCAAAGGACATCATAACTGAGTTAACAGGGTGAGCACAGATTGGGAGAAGATACTTGGCATGGTGAGCGACAAAGACCACACACAAAAGGGCGAAGCTTGCCCCTAGCTCACACCCCCACAAGCACCTGCTCAAAGTGGAAGACAGACCTAGAGGGAAACATCAAACTGCAAATGACCCGGAAGGAAACACAGGCGTTTTATTCTGTTTCTTAACCTTGGGTTCGTCGTGGGATTCTTAGCTGTGACCCCAAAGCACAAGCAACCAAAGGGAAAGAAAGTGTTGCTGGTGTCCTCAACATTGTAAACTCGTGCACCTCAAATACACCACCAAGAAAGGAAGAAGCCCACAACCGGGGGTGTACTTGCAAATTGTGGATCTGATACAGGATACATAAGGAGCTCTTGCAACTCAGTAATCAAAAGGCAATTTGATTAAAAATATGGGCAGAGTCCCGGGCTACCACTGAGGGCCCCTCTGGCCCCCCTGATGTCCTGGCATCTGCCAGAGCTTCTCGATACAGGCACCAGGCAGAGTTTAACCACCTTGAAGTCCTCTCCCAAGAGGGCCCCGGTGGTGGTCACGTGTGTGGTGTGGGAGATGAATTGGGTCTTCCCAGGAGAGGGACTGGCCAGGAAGGGGGGGGGTCCCAGCACCCACACCTGCTGAGGGGTGATCTCACCTGCGGGCATCTTGCTGTAGTTGGTTAACTGCCCCTCCTGGAAGGTGGCGCCCAGGCTGCAGGAAGCCTCCGGGGCTGGTGGCTGGAGACGTCAGCCAGCTTGGAGTGATGACGACGGGCCGGGCGCTGGGCCATCCTCTGAAAAGAACTGTCTCTGGCTCAATTCTGGGGAGTAAGTTTAATTTTGATCCCTTTATGTGGGTGAGTTGAAGCCACTTACATTGTTTGAGAAAAACATCAGGCCCCACTTATGCTAAGCCCCCCCGCAGCAAACCTACAGCGAGTGCTGAGCGGAATGGCAGTTTCCCAGAACGGGACTTAGATCCGTCAGTCAGAGTCACCTGGTTGACATGGCGAGGTGACCTGCCAGGTAGACGCTGCCCCTCCCGAGCAAGGTGGTCTGACCGCCCCGCAGCCCGCTCTGTGGTGCAGCCTCCTCACCCTGCTCTCTCTCGCGCTGCCTACAGACGTCCAGTCCTGGGCAACGCCGAGCATCTTCTCTCTGCTGGATGGGAAGCCGCCTGCTTCACGAGCCACTGAATAAAACCAATAAGATCCTGAAAAAAAAAAGAGCAAATGTGTTTTTCCACAGAAAACACACAAATGGCCAATAAACTCATGAAAAAGTGCTTGACATCGGCAGTCGTCAAGGAAACGGAAATCGAAATCCCAAGGAGACACCTTCCACACGCACTGGGTGGGCGAGACCCACCAGATAACAACCAGCAGGGGTGGCGCAGCCCGCCCGGGAGGGAGACGCGCGCCGCCTCTGCGCCCCACAGACCTTGCCTCGGACGCTGAACCTGAGCGTCTCGCTCTTTCCTCCTGTTCCGAGGACGAAGGGCCTCCTGCAAAGACCAAGCCCCTGCAGGCCCTGGCACAGACAGAACCGAGACCGCCAGACGGTGACGAAAGCCGGCTGATGCCAGCCGGGTCACCAGGCCCCCGTCACGGGACGGGGCGCTGCCCCCCTCCCCTTCCCGGTGCGGTGCCACGGGTTAAACCCCCTGCTCTCTGCTGGGTGGGCCGCGGCCTCAGACCCGGGCCGGGCCGACAGATAAATGAAGCCACTTTCCTTCCCCTCCAAACTCTGTTCTTGCCGGCGAAGGGAGCCCAGGGCAGCGATTCCGGGACCAGAGCTGGGGAGGCCGGAACCCGGAGCGCTGCTGTGGGGACGGAGCGGGCCGGCCTGGGGAAACGGGCCTCAGGCGACTGAACAGGGAGCTGCCTCGTGGCCGGCGAGGCCCTGCCTGAGTGAACAGCCCAGACAAGGGAGACGTGGAGGGCATGAATATGCGCCGCGGCTGCCCAAGGACAAAGGTGGAAGCAGCCCTCGGTGCCCAGCAAGTGCCCCGCTTCGGGGGCAGCCAGGGTGCGTGCCCGCTGCGGGCGGTTACTCCCAAGGAGCCGGGTGAGTCACGCTCCGGCCCTGCACACGCGGCGGAGCCGCAGGGAAGGGGCCCTCGTGCTGCCTGACGCCCTTCTAGGACCGTCCAGACAGGCAGAGCCGCAGGGCGGAGGTGGATTCGGGGTTGCCTAGGGCTGGGGTGGCGGGGGGGCCGGGTCTGCTCCGCTCACCCAGTTGTTCACTTTAAATGTGCGTCAGGGCGTGTGAGCGACGCCCCAACAGGCTGTTTTCTAGATGGGGACAGGAGCTAGTGTCTCAGCGCACAGGATCCCCCACAAATGAGCCAGACGAGGTTGCCCTCCCCATGGAAAAGCAAGTAAAGACTCAGTCTCGCAGCAGGGGAGACGGAGGCCGCGCGGGCTGGGGCGAGCGGTCACCCACCAACGCTGCTCAGCGAAGCCGCGGCCTCATGCCCGGTGCTGCTGAAGTGAGGAAGCCGGACGGGCCGATCGCTGGCAGAGATGGGGGGCCAGGACCCTGAGTGCCGCTCGTTGGGGTGCTGACGAGCTCCTGGGGTGGGCGCAGCCCAGACTGGTCTCCTGCTTCTGGGTGTCCCTGATGCTCACCCAGATCCTGGTGGCTCCCCACACCCGAGGCTATGGGGATGCAGCGCTGAGGCAATCTGGGGGCTGTGCTGGGCGCCAGGAGCAGATGCCCACACAGCACCTCACCCGAGCAGTGCTGAGGAAGGTGGAGAGACCAGGGTGGGGAGAGAGCACGCCCCACTTCCTTGGGGGAATCACCTGCACACAAGCCGCCGCCACCCCAGACACAGGCAGAAGGTTGTACAGTCACACCTGGGATGGTTGCACGTGTACGGGGGGACTTCAGGGGCCGTGGAGACGTGGAGAAAAAGCCGCCTTTGAGAAAGGCCCAAGCTCACACGGGCGAACAGGGCCCTGGGGCAGAGGCGCGGGGGAGCCCGAGTTCTGACTCGGGGAGGACACAGGTGTGACGTTCCGGAACTGGAGCCCCTTCCCCGGCTCATCACGCTCTGCATTCCATGCACTGGTCCCTTCCCAAGGTAGGGGACCTTGATTTCTGAGGCGTGGTCCCTCCTGTCGTGGGGTTAATGATTATTGACAGATAATACTTGGGCAAAGATTGTGCCTGTTAAGTTCTGGGCTGCCCACTTCTCTTAAAGGGGCAGCGGCTGGGGGTGAGGACAGAAGATGCTGAGAGCCCCAGGCCACATCTTGAAGTTCAGAGACGATTCAGAGGACCCAAAGGGCAGATTATCTCCCTAGAACCCCGGGAAAGAAAGGGTCCCCAGATGCTTGCCCTGGAGGCCTTGAAAGTGGGCCAGCGGCCTCACCTGGTCATGTCTCTGGCTACTGAAATCTAACACCAGAGGCCTCATCTCTGATTTGGGAAGACTGGTCTGCAAAGAAAAAGTTCTAGCATTTTCCGAAAGCAGGGCCACCAGCATGACTGCTATGCTGAGCCCGATGCTCCTTGGTAGGGTCTGTCTGTGCTTTGTGGGATGTTTAGCAGCGTCCCTGGGCTCGACTCACTAATACCTGCTCCCTCACTCCCCAAGTGGGACGGCCAGAATGTCCTCAGACATTGACAGCTGTCTCCTGGGGCGCTGACAACACCGTCCTCCTGTTGAAGCCACCTGTAGCTTGCAGCAGAGACCTGGATGCCAGTGTGGCCAGAACACAGCTGGCCCCTGAGGTTCAGCCTGGTTACTATTGCCCAGCTTTATCGAGATATAATTGACACATCACATGGTAGACAAGGTGCAGACTTGATACACTTGTATGTTGTAATATGGCTGCCACCCTGGCCTTGGCCTACATCTCCCAACTTCTTTTTGGTGACAAGATGTTTAATGCACATTCTTGGTGTCTTCAAGTAATCACCAGGCTTTGCACTAAATCCTCAGAACGTATTCACCCTCTCACTGGAAGTTGGCACCCTTTAACCAAGATCTTCCCCTGCCGCCAGCTCCAGCCCCTGCTACTACCTTTCTCCTGTTATCGTGCCCCGTTAGTGAGACCGTACTGTGTGTGTCTGGCTCCACCTGACTTATCACACTCAGTTAAGGCCCTCAACGTCCATCCATGTCGTCACACACGGCAGGATTTCCTTTGTCATGGTTGAGTAATACTCCGCCGCCTATGGAGCCCACATCTTTATCCATCTGCCTGTTGATGAACATTTAGATTGTCTCCCTATCTTGGCTCTCGGGACTCATGCTGCAGTCAACTTGGACGTGCAGATACCTCTCTGAGACCCTATTTTCATCTCCTTTGGATTTATTCTCAGAGGTGGGAAGCCGGAATCATATGGTTGTCGTATCTTCAATTTTTTGAGGCACCTCTGGACTGTTTCCATGGCAGCTGAGCTGATTTACCTTTCACATCCTCCCCAACACTTGCTCTTGAATCTTCCGGGTGACGGCCGTCCCAGCAGGTGTGCGGGGTACCTCAGGTGGTTTGGGTTTGCATTTCCCTGATGATCAGTGACGCTGGGCATCTCCCATGTTCCTGTGTCGACGTGTCTGCTTTGAAAAATTGTCTGTTCAGTGCCTCTGCTGGTTTTTAGCCAGTTTGTGCTCTTGCTATTGTTACTTGGATAGTAACTAACCCCTTATCAGCTGCATGACTTGCAAATATCTTGTCCCATTTTATGAGCTGCTTTTTCCCTTGGTTGACTATTTCTTTGGCTGGGCAGTTTCAAGTTGTTCCTCCATCAGGTTCCTATGAAGATCCCCACTTTG